ATGGCATCGATCGTGGAATATATGGCCCAGCTGACTGTTCTTGGCGTCTTGGAACCATCCACCTTACCGGAGGCGGCGATCGGAGGGGGTGGTGGTGGTGGTGGTGGTAGTGGGACCACTGGTGGTACTTACAATCTCACACGTCTGGTTGAACTATTAGCCTCCGTAACTGAGTCCAACCCCTGTCTTTCTAATGAGTTGGGCAAAGGTTGCACAATCTTGACCACACTGTTAGGCACAACTGAAGCTCCCTCTTCTGCTGTTTCCTCTCTTTTGCTTGCTCCCATGCCACTGACTGCATGTGGTTCAGTCGTTTACTCCATTCCCGTCCCCATAAATCTACTACCTACTCCCTCGCAAGCGATCGACTTGGCTCTCGTACTACTTGTTCGCATTGCCAACGGTGTGGTCAGTCGGACGTCGGCTCGATCAGGTGTGGAAGCCTCTGGTCTGAGCCCCGCTGTGGTCGCCACGGTACAAAATGCGATCAAGCTCTTTCTATCTCAATGGTTCACGGAATATATGCGAGATAAAGAGTTAGCGGTACGTCATTGTTGGGCAACATATTAAATATCATTCATTCTCAGTTGTAATGCCTGACTTCTGTACATGTGGGCTGGAAACTGGTTCGGTGATTAATTAATCGACACCATTGTGCACACAATCGTTTCATGCATGTACCCGACGTCCACGGGAATACCATATCGATGTGGGATGTTTTCCTGTTAACCGATTTGACGTGGATATAATCAATTCTTAGTGAACCAGTCTTCGACACACGCATAGCGCAAAACTTCATTTTCTTGTCCCACCTCATGTTTACTTCGTGTTTGTGCCGAATGGTCATGCGGAACAGGTAATCCGCAGTGTGTGTGTGTGTGTGTGTGTGTGTGTGTGCAGAACCATGATCTTTCGTGGGAGTTGTGATTTGTTTGAGCCTTATACTTTGCAAGGCATTTTTTCGACACGAGGTAGTTCGCATTTTTCACATGATCTCGTCGATTTTATTATCACAATCCACTCTCAGTGTTTGCATCATAAGAACTATCGAAAGAATGTTCAAGGGGAATCCTGATGTTGGGTGATTACAACAAATGAAATTAGCAGAATTTGAAAAATGTACCCACAATAAAAGTTTTCTTAGTGTATCCTCATTTCTGGGTAAAGCTTACTAACCATTTTGGGGTTTAATCGATCAGCTTTCACTAACCTGCGACACCTCTGGCGCCACCATGATATCCGACTGTCGCTTAAGGGAAGGGTGTACATTGCCGCCGCCGCTGCTTTACAGTTGCGACACGTGACCTCTCCAAGCGGAGGATGCTAACCGTATTCGACCACGATGCCTTTGAAGCATTGTTCGTGTCTGGTGGAAACATCGCGTGAGCAATGACGAAATCTGTGGTCGAGTGCTGGCTGCTGATAGTCGTTCTCTAACAGAAGAAATCGTCCTACGACGTCTCCAATTGTTCGGTCATGTTTTGCGTATGCCTGCCCACCGACTACCTCCGTGCTCTCTTTGCACGCGTTTGGCAAGGCTAGAAGAAGCGCCGCGGCGGTCATACCATGACATGGCTTAGAGGCATGAAGAAGTTAGCCTGAGCATTGACTTCGTTCGTTGCAGCTCGACTTCCAGGCGAGGCTCAAAGGATGAGGATTACCGATGGTTAGAGATGCTGAGACATGGCTCAGAATAGAATTCAGTGGCGCGATTGCTGTGCAGTTTGTCTGTCAAAACCCCGCTCCCCATACAATCAAAAGCTTCCAAAAGTATACGGTGAATCTATAAAAAAAATTCATTCATTCGTTCTCCGTATTCTCTGTTTTCTCCATTTTTATTCAATCTTTCTGTACCCCATCAAAAGTTCATTACCATTGTTTTACATTAGCGCTAATGTGTCTGATGTATTTCACTCCACATGTTTTTTATGCCTTACGTTTAATTCTCTTGATCGTGTCTACATAACCACGCCCCCCACACACATACGAGCTTTCTTTTATTTCTTAAGCGAAACTTTTGATGGTCTTTCTGCGCCGTATTTCACTAACAAAATCCATTGTTCATACTAATTATTTTAGGAGCCATTTGCATA